TTTATTAGTAGGGCGGTCAAAACGGCTCGTTATTCGCGAATAACTCGTGTTCAGCTTGTTAAAAAGCTTATGTTTGGTTCGTTCACTAAGTTAACGAGCCGAACACGAACTAATATTTGTTCGTTCGTATTCGTCTCATTTTGGCTCGAAATACTATTAATCAATTATATATACACATATATATCTATGATGAGTAACGTTTTTTAAAAATTTAATTGACTATAAAACTACAAAAAATTATAATGAATTAAAAGTATCGATGAAGAAAATAAAATAAAAAATATTAAATTAGATTCAAATGATGTTTTAAATATTGTCCCACCCTTAATATCTTATGACTACGTGATTGGGGTTGTCAAAACGACTCTTTGTTCATGAACGGCTCGTGTTCTGAAGGGCTTGTGTTCGGCTCGCTAAGCAAACGAGACGAACACAAATATACTTTTTGAGCTCGAAATATAAATAAACCGAACACGAGTTGAGTCTGGGCTCACTCATCGCTCGTATTCGGCACGTTTACACCAGCTACTTATAATGCCCCTCTAGCCAAATTGTTCACACCCGAGCCCACGAGGCATTGGGGCATATATATTCGTTGTACGCATAAAGGAAGTTTGCAAAACTAGCGGTGCTTCGTGTTTAGGGTTTCCATCAGCCTGCCTGCAGTCGCCGACATCGTCTCAAAATGGTACGCTTTTCCGTCGAATATCTTTCTTGATCGGTTCATCGTTTTTTAAACCTTTTATCGATTGAATGTGACATTAAAATCGATTTTACTTAAAACAAAACTTAAGATTTTTCTCACCAAAGGTTCTAGATGTAACTTTCAAGGGATTTGCTACGGAAGGCTTGTCCTTCTCTTAGTTTGAAGCCTAATTTCTAATGCAAATCTGTTTTCGCCGATCCGATGCAAGTTATTTTTTAAGAGATTTAATATTTTGAATACTTGGGGAATGAAGGGTTGGACTCAGGAGTGGTTGCAGGATTCGGAATGATGGAATCGAATAAGTGAAAGGAACGATCAAGCCCTTCTTATGCTGACTTGTGATTGATGTTCTTAACCTTTATATTGATGCGGATGATAAATTCTTTGTTTTCTTACTGAACTAAATGGCAGGACTTCATAATTATTTGAAGCAGCGCTGTTCATTTTGCTACTTCACTTTTCAGTTACTCTAATCTCTCAACTCTTGAGATGCATAGCCTTTAGTTTCGTAATTTTCCGTGTCTACAACCATTCTGCTTGTTTTTCCATTTAGGTCTGTTTGTGTCATCTTTTTTCCCTTCCCAGAAAGAAAAAAAAAATCTGAAATTTACACACACAGCACCCATTTTTTTTACATTTTCCCATCTCACACCCAAACTCTCATTTTTACAAAACCAGCTTCTTACCTATAGATGAAATGTGGAGTTCACAATTGAGAAGTGGTGAAAAAGGTAAGTTGTGTGCTTGGTTTGTAAAAGTGAGAGTTTGGGTGTGAGATAGGTAAAATCATAATAATTGGGTGCTGTGTATGTTAATTCCCAAAAAAAAAAATATTGAAATGCAATGCACAAATGTAAGGGGCTGTTTTGGCAGCAATCAAGATTTAACTTAATGAGAATTTGGTAAACTCTATAGACTGGATTTATTAAATCTTATGTGGGTTAAAACCCGAAGCTATTTGTAGGATAGGTGTTAAATCCTGTTAAATCTAAGCAAAGTATTTGGCTTCTTGTTTCAGGATCTAAGGATTCATATGAATGGGACATTTTTGTTTGTTAACTTTGCTTGTATCAACATGAATTAGATTTATTAAATATCTCAATTAATGATTAAGTAGTTATATATTTAGGTAATTAAATAATAACTTATATTTTGACAAACTAAATGTAAAAAAAATATCAGTTAAGATAATGAACTTTTAATTAAATAATATTAGTTCTTAAGTTTTAATTTATGAAATTAATTAAATATAATAAATTTTAATTGTTCAACTTAAGTCATAAATAATATTTATTTCTTTAAATCAATTTATTTTCTTATTAGTTGAGAGTAATCATCAAGATTAATTTATATAATTTAATTATTATAGTCAGTGTGTTATTAATTATAAGAGACCTCATCGGGAAGTTGCAACGGGTGCTTTCTAGGAAAGGCATTAATGGAAGCAGTTGTGTGTGAAGAAGTTATTAAGACTTGTGGATTTGTTAAATGATAATTTTAGGATTTACTAAATTTGGTATTTGAGGGTGAACTGAGGAAAAATGGGATTTAAGATTCTGTTGGATTTGAAGTATTTTTTTTTTCTTGTAACTATTTAGCAGGATTTATGCTAAGTACTACCTAAATCTTGGGTAAATTCAGCTAGCTAGTGGCCCTTAAGAGTAACTAAAAATGTTCAAGTTGATTCTTAAGTTTATTAAAAAAAGTTAATCTAAGGACCAAGAAAGGTTGGATTTACATTATAATGATAATATTAGAGAGCTGCATCCGTGAGTGGTCAGCTTGCCTCGTCAAATTTGTCCAAGGATCTAAGCTAATTAACTTATTCTAGTTTTTCTCATGCAAAATTAGATGTTTTTTATTTGATTGGATTCATTGCTTTGAGTGAATCTTTTGTTGATTAATCATATAAGTTTGAGGTTGTTTGGTCTTTTAATTAGTTTTTTCAATAAATTTGAGTATCAATTGGGCTTTTGGAGCTGCTTTTAGATTCACGTATTGTGTTAGAAACTGCTTTATCATCATATAGGATTTTCATGAACCAAATGGGTACATTCGTAGGATTCTGTGTTGATCTTTCAAAAATTATGAGAAGATAGTATATAGAAGCTTTATGCAGCTGTTCATTATTTACTTGTATCACCATTTTGTTCTAGTTTTTCCAAGCCAATAATGACATTTGATTTTGTATCATGTGATGAACCTCTTTTTGTATCATGAAAAGCATTTCTTATCCAAGGATAGGCACTTACAAATTGTAGATTTGTAATATTTAATTGGTATTTAATGAACATTGAGCGACTCCTGCTTGTAATATATAAATGGAAGATTTACTTACATACCACTCAATTCCTATGTATTTACATATTTAACATCTAAACTTCAATTTTTACATGCATATCACCTTATCTATGCATGAAAAGGTTTTTTAAAAGTTAAAGTGATGGTATTTTGTATGTGATATTAAAGTTTATCATGGTATAAATGTAAAAAGTAAAATTTAGGTGTTAGATATGTCAATACTTTGGAATTGGGTGGTATATATGTAAATGCCTCTATATAGTTTAGTTGTTCAAAGCAAATAATTTTTACACTTCTGTTGTGTTTTTTGTGAAACTGTCAAAATGGTATTGTGCTATGAAGATTCTGAATTAGTTAAGAGGAATTTTGAAGGATTTTATTATTGTAGTCTTAAACTTCTCTCAGGGTTTTAAAAGAGAATATACAAGACTTGTGATTTGATTCTTTACTCTGAGAATCACAAGGGCTTGTAGTCATGCATTTAAGTAATGTGCATCCAGATAAACTGTCAGGCTAATTCCTAGATGAATAGAAAACAGCCATTCTTTAGCTCTTAAGTTTGAATCCCTAAACAATCTCTTTTTCATAGAGGGCTAAAAATTTCTTTGATAAAAATTTCTATTTCCTTTTGAATTCTGAATTAGCAATTAATTAGTCAACTGTTTTTATTTTATGTTATTTTATTTTGTGAGGATTTATATAATCTATTGACTCAATTTTTGCTTGTTGACATAGACAAAGCGAACAAAGAAGGCAGGAATTGTTGGGAAGTATGGTAAGTTTCGCCATAAGCTGAGGAATTACTTGAGATCAATTTGCTTTTATTATTTTTTTGTTTTTAAAAATATGTTTTTTTAATGTGTTTTTTACATGTTTTTATTTTTTGTTTCTAAAAATAAGTTAACATATTTTTGAAAACACTCAAAAATATTTTTTAGAAGTTTGGAGTGTTTTAAAAACAATTATATTTTATTTAAAATGTTCAAACAAAAAACAATCCCCCCCCCCCCCCCCCCTCTCCTCCCCCCCCCCACAACAGTGATCCATGTTTTGATCGATACTTTGCAAGCTTTGAAAAACCCTGCGATTAGTTGTGTCTTTTCATCTGAAATCATTCAGGCACCCGCTATGGTGCGAGTTTGAGGAAGCAGATCAAGAAAATGGAAGTCAGCCAGCATGCCAAGTACTTCTGCGAGTTCTGTGGCAAGGTAAATGACTTCAGTGCAGAGCTTGTTTCTTCTCATTTGATTGACATGCTTGACTTGAAAAAATATGGCTTCTTAAATCCAGTATGCTGTGAAGCGGAAAGCTGTTGGTATATGGGGATGCAAGGACTGCGGCAAAGTTAAAGCTGGCGGTGCCTATACTCTGAAGTAAGACACCACTCTCGCCTCAACCTCTTTAGTAGTCTCGTTTTTTTTAAATTTTCTGGAAGTTGAGCCTTAGTGACAATTAGGTTAAAAATTTGTGATTTAAGTATGCTTTGAAGTTTGGTCTTTTAATTTGAGAGATGACTTTCTACCAACTCTTTCACAAGCCTTGCACATTTTTTATCCTCTCATTTGGCACCAAAGCATTGCATCTAACTATTACATATATATATATAATATATATATATATAGTTTTTGTTTTTTGTTTTAAATGGGTTGCGCAACAAAACATTTTTGATGCAAGCAGTGATATTGAACTGTCCGTATCCTACTTGACTTGCATTAATGAATTACCCCCACAGTTTAATGACATTACAATCATTGTAGTACAGGAGATTTAAATGAAAACTTGAATAATCAATCTAGCATTTTTTAGATTTAGCAAACACGCTTGAATTGGTGGTAGGCTACTAATCACACCAGCAGTGCTCATGAAAAACTGAGAGTATAAATGAGCCAATTTGAGTGTACTATTTGTCAATTTTGAGCTTGTGCTCAATGCTATGAGTTTGAGTTGAGCTTGTGGCTCATAAGCTAACTTACTCGTTGTGAAAGATAGAAGCTGATTCTTATTCCAGTACTAGTTGTGGTAAACCGATTACAACAGTGAAAATTTAAGGGAGAAATAATACAAAATCACTTAAGGTAAAGGATAAAGATATAATATCTAAATATTTATGATGCCGTATATTTGTACTATAGATTAAGATTTTATAAATGACTTGGCTCATGAGTTAATGAGGTGAGTTAAAAGTTGGCTCATTAGTCGAATCATTTATGAAGTTTAGCATCATTAAGCTCAGGAGTTCACACCACTAGGATCATGTATCCATGGTGTGTTGAAAGTGCATGGCATTTACATACATATCATCAAGTTCCTATGTATTTGCATATCTAACATCTAAACATTACTTTTTTTACTTTTATACCACTCAAATCTTTCAAATCACACCAAAGATACCACTTTTAACTTTTAAAAAGTGTGATACACCTTTTCATGCATGGGTAAAGTGGTTTATATGTAAAAATTGAAGTTAAGGTATGAGGTATGCACATGTAAATCTTCCTTTTTTAAAAAAAAAAAGATGGACTTTTGTATTAGTATCAGAATATAGGATGAAGGAAGAAGTTGCTGACACATTTCTTTTCTTTTGTTCTCAGCACTGCAAGTGCAGTTACCGTTCGAAGCACCATCAGAAGGCTAAGGGAGCAGACAGAGAGTTAATTCGACCATTTTCCATGCGTAGCCGGCTAATCATGGCCTCCATTTTTAAATTTAGATTATTGTATTTTTCTGTTGTTTAGGGTAGTCGACTCTATAAGTTTATTTTTCTTGGCTTGAAGCTGTTAAATCCAGGATTTTTTTGAGTTTCCAGCAAAATTTAAAAACTATTTTTTTAAAAATCCTTATTTTAATGCATGCTTTGGAGACTAATTTCTGATACATTTATGGTAGAGGCAGAATCTTGTCTTGCTCCTTTCCTAAATAGCAGGGGTGTGGTGGGAGAATCATGTATATGCTTTGAAATTTTAGCGTATTTAATTGCAAATTCATGCATATTAAATATAAAAGACCTTGAACTATGGATTTTTTTGATTGAAATTGTAAATTATCAAGATATTAAGTTGGCTTTCATAGAATTATATATATTTATATATAATTCTATGAGAGGGTGTCCTATAAAAGTATGGTTCATTATTGAATTTTTGAATTGCATAAGTGCAATTTTCTTATTAGTGAAAGTGTAAGGAAGATATCACAAACAGTTTGTGTTATGTTATGGACTTAATGGTTTTCGTCGTTTAAACAAAAGCATGCCACAGGATTTGGTCTTTGGTCACCTTTTTAATATTTACATGTATTTTTTTTTTAAATTAAGACTGTTCTGGGATTGCTTTTCTTAGCTTCCTGTTTGTTAAATGAGATATCTTTATGATTCGTCTCAATAATTTGGGCTGTATTATCTTACCACGTAGATTTAAATGTTATAAAAAAATTATATTGTTTTGCTTGAATCTCGAGATTTTTTTTTTAATAAGAAATTTTTAGATTCAAATTAAAGGTTATTTATAATTTTGATTTCAATAAATTCATAATCAAATTGATTGTTTTGATGAGAAGAATTTAATGATATTAAAATTTATCTAATTTGAGTTCGATCAAGACTTGATCTTTGAAGGTATGGGTTAATTAATCGGAAGATCAAATAAATTTTAAATTTGACATACTTATAATCAAGTTGAGTTTTTCGATTAGAGGAATTCAATGAGACCAATATTACTTGAATGAGGTGCTATTAAGATCCTAAATTCATTTAAAAAAAAAAAATTATGATCGATGGTAATCAATATGAGTCGTCATTGACCGTTGGATTAGCTGGTTATTTGTTAAATGGCCAAAATGCCCTTGTAATTATTGCATTTGGTGTATTATGAATGATGTATTTTTGTAATTACACACTTATGACCCGTTTGGGGCAGCTTATAAGTGCCGGAGTTTTTTTTGAAAACGCCGCGGTACTGTTTGGATAACGTGTTTTGCCGCCTGCTTATCCGAAAATGCGGTTCCATTTTTACACTAAACGTAGGCCCCGGGACAAACCTCGCGGTCGACCCTTGGGCCGCGTTTCAGGATAATCTGCTTATTCTGAAACACATAGCTGCCCTAAACACACTCTTAGTGTAAAATACTGCATTTGGTGTAGCATCTCTCCATTACAACTAATGTGACTAACTACACCCTACATTGTCCACAACTCAGGCGGCCCCAACTCTGACTTTTGTGGCCTACGGACGTTATTGCAGCTTACTACTAAGGTTTATGTGAACAATAATGTCGAGTGGATCATAGCTCCTGCAACTTCCTACTATGACCTCTGTGGCCAACTACTACCACATCTTTCAACTGTAACATTTACAACAAGTTAGTACTACAACCACCATCTACAATATTCACAATAGATTACTGTCTTCATAGCAATCGACTATGGCTTTCACAGCCCGTTATGACTATTACTGCTAAAATACCAATGCACATCAATTTTGCAATCCCATCTTCCTTAACTAAGGGGAATAGTAGTTCTGTGTACTCACCATTATATATTGAATTATTTCAACTGAGCTAGAGACCTTATGATTTTTTTCACTTTCCAGGATTTTCCACGTAAAAAATTTTGGTATCCACTTTAATTACTCAAGTCTCTCTTGAATTTTAGTTTAACATTTATGACACTAATCAATTACTCCACCGCTGTAAATCTTCCGACACGCATCAAGTTTAGCTCACGAGCCACTTATCAAATCGGATTCAATCGACTCAAAGGTTAGCTTGGCTCGGTTATAATCTTAAACTAAATGAATTGGTGAATTCTCTATAAATCTTGACATCAGTTCTTAAAACATCCATCGTCTCCACTCTGGAAACCATTGTAGTAGAGATTGCTCATTTAGAATAGGTGATAAGTCTTTAGAGGAGGGTTATTGAATATGTGTGGTGGATCTTTGAAATTACTTATTTAGCCCTCCTATCAGCTAGAAAAGTAGTCTGTCTACGAAATAAAGCTTCCTTTCTCAAATTTGATCAGCTCTCAGGTGGACAAGAGCATGTATTAAGAATTGTCGATCTTAAATTTATGAGCATCCATAAATATGAAAAGGTATCGCTCATTAAAAATAATTGAAGTTAGATGATATCATTCCAAATATAAATATTATATGGATAACAATTTAAAAATCAAATAAAATTTCCCTTACAAAATAAGCATCCATACCTAGGGTTGTAAACGAGTCGAGCGAGCAGAATATATCATAGTTCGGATTTGGCTTGATATAGTTATAAGTTGTTTATGTTCGGCTTGAGGTTGTGTCGAGCTTTCATATATAGTTCAAGTTTGACTTGTTTAAATTTTATAATGTTTAAACTTAAATTGTTTATGAAAAGTAAATGAGTATTTAAACAAATCAAGTTTAAACATTATAAAATTTAAATCGACACATTTATTTGAGTTTTTAACTCGTTTATTTCATTTTTAGCTCATTTGTAATGTGTCGATATAAATTAGTAGCTGCGATTGATCGACAAAAGTCAATAAACGAGCTAAAAACTCAAATAAATATTTAGATTTTCACAAAAAAGTTCAATAAATAAATTTACAAAAGTGATTGTAGCTACTAATTTATTAATTATTAACCATAAATCCTATAATATCTTAAATCTCGTTTCTCCTCCACTTCTCCCTAAATCACTCACTTAGAAGCTGTTTAGTTGAATGATTTGTCAAACAACTAATAATGACACCTTTAAAAGCTACATGAATTTAAATCTTGTGTCTCCACTTTTTTGCCCTAAATTCCTCATTTAGGTGTTGTTTGGTAGTAGAAATTAAGCAGCAATAAGTAGAATTTAACCTAAACTTTACCAATCAACAAAAATGACAAAAGAAATCCCTAATGGATCTTAAATCCGCTTCTCCTCTATTTTGCCTTAAATATTAGATATATTGTCTAAATAGTAAGATAACAACTTTAAACCATTCAGGATCATAAATTTCATTTCTCCTTCTTTTTGCCTTAAATCTCAGATATAGTAGATGGAATTTGAAGAAGGATTTATCGTGTTTAAAGAATTTGAAGCGTGTGAAGTGGAGTGCAATGAAGGATGAGAAATATGAGGGTTAATCGGGTAGGACTTAGACACATAGTGGAAATGATAGATATACTAGAGACTAGAATTTTAGAGATCCTTACATGCCACGATTTGGTCATTACTTTCGTTGATTGCACACCCTAGCGACTTAGGGTTTTGTATGTTTGGAGCAAAAGTGACAACAACAATAACAACAACAAAGCCTTAATCCAACTACGTGGGGTCAGCTACAAGAATCCTTTTTCACCATTGCGTCCTATATAGTTTCATATTTTCATTTAGTTCTAATAAATTAAGATCATTTTTTTATACAATAAGCCCAAGTCTTCCTATGTCTACCTCTGTCTTTCTTAACATAAGTCGAATCTTAAGTCGATTTCTTAACATAAGTCGAATCTAAAACATCTACTCTCCTAATCGGATCATCAGATGGTCAATGTTTAATGTAACCAAACCATCTAAAATGACTTTATCTAATTTTGTCAGTCATTGGAGCTCAACCAACCCTATCACGAAGATATTCATTTCGCATTTTGTCTCCAAGTGTAAAGCCACTCATCTACCTAATCATTCTCGTCTCGGCAACACTTAAATTAGTATTATTTTTCTCTTTTAAAGGCCAACATTTAGCGCCATAGAACATTGGAGGTCTCACTACCATCTTATAAAATTTTCCTTTCAGTCTAAGTGGTACTTTTCTATCACACAAAAGGCCCGAAGCATTCCTCCACTCCAACCAACCAACTTAAATTCTACAAATTCTACTATTAACATTCTACTATTAACACCCTCATTTATATCACCATCGCTTTGAACAACACACCGAGATATCTAAATCATTCACATCTTTTAATAATTTGATCACCCAAAGCTATACTTCTGTCACTATAGCTACTATTACTAAAATTACATTCCATGTATTCAATTTTAGTTCTACTCAAATGAAGGCCTTTAGACTCCAATGTAGACCTCCATAATTCAAGTTTTTCCAGGGCTTATTATTATTATTATTATTATTATTATTATTATTATTATTATTATTATTATTATTATTATTATTATTATTATTATTATTATTATTATTATTATTATTATTATTATTATTATTATTATTTGTCTAGATAAATAAAAATAATATAAATGCAATCTAAAACCCAATTGCCATCGGCAGATCGTGAAAATTGGCAGAAACAAATTATGACGACGATAACGGTTGTCATCCAACAATGACAGGCTACCGCGAATATTTTATATGGCAAGCAATAAGCGGCTACGCCCATATTTTATACCAGAGAATTTGAATTTGAAATTCACCTAAATCAAAGGAATTCAACATATATTTATATTTAACTAGAAAAAAAATTTCATACATTTAAATTTTACACTTCATTTAATTATTAGAACATTCAGAAATTTTGCATTCCTTTTACAAGGAATACTGCCTATGCCAAAACGCATTCATTGTCATGCATAGCAAGTGAGCTAAATTTGTGCACTTCATTCATTGTCATACGACACGATATAATTACTATCAAGATTCTCGCATCGTCCATTGATGAAATTTTTGTTCCTATACAGATTAAAACTCCACATAAATAAATAAATAAAAAAAAGCTAATTTACCTGAGATGAGAGTGAAGGCAAGAAGAACCTACTCCTAAAGTGGTCAGTCACTAGATTCTTTTTTATCAATCCTCTTCGTCAACTAAGAGCAAATCCTCATACACAAATCTGCATAGTTTTGTCTTCAATCTCAATAGAATGTTGTCTAAAATGCGGCGAATGCTCGTTCATAATGGCTTCCGATCGAAAGAAAGTGAAAAGATTATCATACTATTGGGATGGGGAAATCGAGCACATCTCTATGAATTCTCTTCTCAGTTTGGACAGCTTTGGAAGCAGCAACTCTGGCTGCATTGGCTGCTTTATTCGCAGCAGCAACAGCTTTATTTACTTTCTCATCCACCCTTGACACATGATATGCCTTTCCTGCTGCTGCTCTTGCTTCCTGACATCCAAAATCTAATCAGTATCCCTTAAAACAAAACAGACTAAAATGACCTAATCAAAATAGTAAGAGGACTAATTTGACAATTGGTTAAAAAGTTATTTGCTATGTAATTTACAGTTTTGAAAGGTTTTGTGAACCTGAACAGCATTGAGTACTCTGGAATGGTTAACTGCGAATGGAGTTCCAGGGAAGGCGTTTCGAGTGCTAGAAGTTTGCAGGATGCCGTTTGCCCAGTGACCGGAGTGTGCCTCGCTGTTCGAGAAAGAGTACATTCCTAAACCTTGTCTCTTTCCTTCATGCCATGCTCCCTCGTAGCATTGCTGACTTGCAAATTGGTAGACCCCGAAGCCATGCATCTTGTCGGCGAAATATTCTCCTGCATAGGTGTCTCCATTCCTAGATACAGTAGAACAAGAATAAGAGATGTGAAAACTTGGTTTAAATAAAGGGAATTGTAAAACATATTACAGAAGGGAATTGCAAAACAATTTACAGAGAATAGACTTTTGGTAATTTACATTGTCACACGTTCTCTAAGGGAGACTTAGTTTAGTATACAGGTAACCAATAGACTTAATCAAAATATTCAAATCTTATTAACGATGACAGGTTAAGGCTAGCTATTTCCTGCATCCGTTTTCAGTTAAATATGCAAATTTGATTGATAAAAAATGTAGGTGAAAAGATGGAACAAAATATCTTGCAACGTTAGTACGAGTTCAGAATGGATTAGCATCTGCTACGACGTAAGCTCAGAATAGATTAGTATCTGCTATGACGTATGTTTCTAGCCTAATTGTTCCATAGTTACACTGAGCGCAAATAGTAATTATAAAAAAAAATAATGTTGTAGGGACTAGGGTAAGAGACCAGACTGAACGCAACAAATTGAATGAAGGTTTACAAAAATTTTGTGAGAAATAATTTTAGCACCGCAAGCAACATAAAATAAAATGAAAGAAAAATGAGTGATGATAATGGTCTCTATAATAACATCAGATATTCTGAAAGAAAAAAAAAAGGAAATTCGATATTGATGGAAAATATAGGTCCGATGGACTAAATGTGAGAAAACTAATACCATACAAGATAAGTGTAAGAAAATATCAAATGTTCTGTAAGACCCACATGTTAGAATAGACTTCAATTCTATGAGTGAAACAAATGTTTCTTAGGTACTCAACAATACCGATGAAACTTTGTCATAAAAATTACCATAGAGAAGGATTGGAAGTTCATCTTTTGTTTCATCACACTTATGAGCCATCCTGTGGAAGAAACTACAAGTCTAACAACGATATCATGATTAAAATTTTGCAGCGGAAAACTTTGTTTGTTGTTTATGTTCAATTATAAAGCTCAAGTATTTAATTTGTTAGCAATGTTAATCTGTAAGTCTGGAGTCCAAGAAAAAGAAAATTGTTTGTGCTAAGACATATGAGATGAAAGATAAAATTTTAATTAGAAGTTTAAATATTCATAAAAATATACATATAAGATTAGTGCCAATACCACCCTCATAAAATTCAATTCAGAGATTAACCGTGGTGAATGTTTTCTAACAAGACAGACACTCAACAATATGGACGGAATTTTGTCTTGTCATAAAATTCAATTCAGATATAAACCGAGGTGAATGTTTTATAACAAGACAGACACTCAACAATATGGACGGAATTTGTCTTGAAAATTAACTCAAAAAAGGAATGGAAGTTGATCTTTTGTTCGATCAGATACTTATCAGCCTTCCTGTACAAGAAAATAGCATGCTAAAAGGTATATCATGACAACAATTTTACTGCAAGGCTGTATTTGTAGTTTATATTCTTTTATAAAGCTCTAGCATTTTATTTATTGGAGATGCAAAGTTTCAAAAATTGAAGTCACCAAAAATGCAAATTTTATGCGTAAGATGAAAGATAAGCTTTGAGTTGATCTTAATTTTAATAAATCTTTGCATGAATGCTCCAAGAATATTATCCTATAATGAAAACTTGACCTGAATTGATTCCTTCATTCTCCAGTTCCCTGATTCTCTATTTTGCATTTTTTGCGGCTCTTTGTTATAACCACTGAGTGCTCATACTACGTTCGAGTCTTTTGCAAACCCTCTAATGTACCGATAACTCGGTTGGCTTCTCTGGTGATAGACTATGGTTCAAGGTTGTTCGCCTATCCTGGCAAAAAGTAGTTTTCCATTTGTGGTTTAGGTTCTTATGTTAGTCATGGCTGTCAATATCCAAAATCTTGGTTCCTGTGATATGCTCTATTTCCTGATAACAGATATTTGTGACTTTTATGCTACTTTTGATAATGTAAAGAGAATTCCAAAAGGGATATTATGATTACTATAAAGGACCAAAGGCATGTACACAACTCAATTAGTTTTTCTGAACACAACTCTAGTTGAATGCACTACTTAACTACTTCAAAAGTCAACTTCTTGAACAAGTCAGAGATCAATAGATTTTTTTTGGAGATATCATCTCATTCTACAAGGGTGAAAGCTAAATTTGGTGATTTCATTCATCTACCTTCTATTATTTGCTCTAAATTGTCATTGGATTGACCGTGTTTAATCATATTGAATCCAAGTTAGTTTTCAACAGGAGTGTGTTTCAACTCATTTTACGGTTTTCTTGGTCAAGAATTTCTAGTAAAAGACTTGAATTTTCATCTAAATTGATTACCTTCATTTTTTTCTCATTAAAAATACAAATAATCGACAAAGATTAAAACTTTATTATTTGCAAAATTTTGAGCGCTAGTTCTTGATTTTTTCCATCTTTATAGTAGAAATATATTAAAATCCTTGAATGTAAGACATCCTATATCAATTGGCCTCTACAACTCTACATCTCATGATGTTTATCAAAATAAGAAATATGGATGAAAACATTAAAGAGCTTGCAAAAAATTAATGGAACTAATTTAATGTATTAGTCGCAATGACCAACTAGATTTTTGTGGATTTTACAACCCAAATCACCGGTTATTACATATTTTTACTACCAATTTGTGCTATTTATCTTAATTAGAAAAAAAAAAAAAAGAGAAGAAACATGCATATATGCCTCCGAGTGTTCAACAGGGAGCATAATAATATATATTTGTATATAATCATATGCTTCTTTGGCTGTTTGTCATTAGTATTTGTTTGAAAAGAAAATAAATCTAAAAGACAAAGACAGGGATTTTAGAGAGAAAGAGGCTAAAGAGATCACTAGAGAGATGAATAAAGAGTAGAAAATATTTGGGTGTATTGTATCTTATAGTTATCTCCAAACTAATGGAATTATCCCTCCATGTGGTTTTAGATGTAGATAGATTTCACCAATGAAGTAAATTATTGTATCTTGCTTTCTGTAGCTTATATTTAAGTTACATATTGTTTGTTATTGCTCATCAGCAAGAGCTTCTCAACTAATAATATCTATTACAAACAACCCATTGGATTTAGGGGAATATTAGGAAAAATAGCATTTGCAAATGGGAAAGTAAAATTTAACATATTTAATGACAATTGCTTCAGGTAATGAATCATGGAGTACATGATTATTTTTATCACTGAAAGTTGAATCTATCTCTTAGAGCCAAAGCCACAATCAAAAGCCAAGAATACTGAGATTGGACCGGCAAGTGTTAAGAGTTAAATGCCAGTCACAAAGAAGAATGTTTCTTCAATATATTACACGAGAAAATAACAACTGACAAAAAAAATCTATGTTAGACATATACAATAATTCTTTGACAGTAATTAAGTATATATAAGGAAAAAAATCTACACTCACAGGATAATTGAAATCGCTTTTGCAACAAAATATATTAACGAGTTCAATAAGATCATAATTAGGTTAAGCTTGATTGAACTAAACTTCAAAGATGAGTTGTGCATTGAGACTTTATCATAATTGTAGAAAAGCTAAGTTAGAGCAGTGGTAAGCGTAAAAAATCAATGAGTTTAATCTAATCACAAATTAAGCTCAATTCGTACAAAAATCAAAGACAAATTTTATGCACTTAGCTTTTAACATCATTACCATAAAACTATGTAGAAGATTTCTATGACATGATATTAAGCGAGGACAAAAATAGGAGAATCATATGATGATTCTTTTTCTACTAATCATATTATTAAGAGCAAAGAATGAAGTACAACAGAAGCAATAATGAAGATATTCAAATCTTAACAAAAGAGCAAATCAAAAGGTTGTCGCTATGAATGTCAGAGATATGAAAGATTGAACACATGAAAAGGATGGACCACAAAATAGGGGTGGAAATAAATTCAAATCATATGGATGAATCTATAAATGTTCAATACAAATTAAGATTAATGATGGGCTTTGTAGGAACTTAATAATATGTGGTCCATTCCTAAATTGAAGTTGAATTTTATCTGAACAAATCAGATAGAAAAGAAGGTTAAACCTTGACTCTTTCCACTAAGGGTCATTTGGTTTGCTCAAAAATTAATGCAGTGTAAAAGTAATATATTGGACTTCTAATAATTTCCAGTTGTTTGGGTCAGTGTAAAATAAATGCGGAACTTTATATTTTCTTATTTGGTTTGAAGAAAAACAAATAAAGGATTTCAAATATACTTCTTTTGAAGCTGACTAAACAGCCCTTAGCTCTTAATAGATGGCCAAGAGTGTTATAATAATAGTACAAGAAACACTGATAACATCTAGTACATGACATCAACTACGGAAACAATGAGAGCAACTGAGAAATCAATTTCTAGTGATAATAAAAGTGCAACATGAGAAAGTTTCTATCAAGTAGTAGTTTTCAAAAAGAGAGAGAGAGGCGTTGTAATGTAAATAATATTTCAACATCAAGGCAAAAGTTGAAATAAAAATTGGCAATCATTAATGGATTGAGGTATTGCAATGCCTCAGTTAACCCCAAAGGCTGATTGAGATGGGGTAAAATAAAAAGATTCTTTCTTGGGCTAACATAGAAATATAATCTCAAAATGAGGTTGTTAGGATGTATGAAGCTTACTTTCCTCAGTTTCTCTCATGACCAAATTTCTAATTTCAAAACACTAATTAAAATAAAATAATTTAATTTTAGTCAAATTTTGATTTTCATATCCTAGCCATCAAATCTATAGTTAGCGGATTTTCTAATATTATTGTTTCTTAAGTTTGTTCCCAATACCTTTAGTAATCGATAAAACAAAGTGGAAGACCGACTGCTTAGAAGATATTTTTCATCAAATTCTCTCAAGCTTCAAGAAGAGACCATCAAGCAAAGTATGAAGTCAAGTAACAACTAACATTGGTTAGTTAGGTGGATGGCAATGAAAGTAACACGGGAAGCTGACAACAAGATAACGTAAGCAAGGTCAGACTATTTGCTTTCACTAATTACTAGAGATTGGTTTTAAGGCATTAAATTCATGTAAGTTAAGTGGTTGTCAAAGTAGCAATTGAAGGAGACGAGAAATCAACATCGGAATACCTAGAGTAGTCATTACAAGAAATAGCAAGTGTTTTAAAGACCAACAATTCGTGCGAACATGGTGATGGAGTTTGACTGGAGGTTTTATTAGGATGTGATAATTGGTTTGATTGTATATAACATCCAATGTGGGAAGAAAAACCTATAGCTTCCAGAGGGAGGTATAATTTTCAGTAGAATTATAATAATATATTTATATATTGTTACTTGTCTTCTATAGAGAACAAAAAAGGAAAAGCCTGCAAACTTGTTCTAGAGCCTTTGAGTGTTCAATAATGAATATAATAACATATATCTATAAACTCATTTTACTTGGGTTGTATGCTTGAAAATTACTGAATAAACAAATACAGAGTTGAAAATATTTGGGTTGAGTAACTATTGTATCCTATAACCATATCTACCATATTTAAACTAGTAGAACTATCACTCTATACGGCCATGGGAGTTGGTAGATCTCACCAAATCATGCAAAGTCTCGTGTATTTTTGGTTGTCTTTTATTTGCAATATTTTATTTGCCTCATCATCACTCATTATTGCTTCCGGGAGTGCATTTTTCTCCAAATATAACAAGGTTTAAAGCCAATAAATAAGAACTTCCAATTCACTCACTAGGTAGAAGTTCAATAAGCAATGGAAAGTTAGGCTAGAAGAGGATATTCATCCCATTCTATCTTTTAATTTTTCAGTTTTGGTATGCCCTAATTATAACATCAAAACTCCAATGATGTGATTCAAAAAGTGGTAGTTCCAACTTACTAGAATTCAACATATTCAATTAATTGAGGTTGCTCAAGAAAAAGAAATTTCTAGTAGAAAGAATAAACATAACCCAAAAATTTATAGACGTTGCATCACCGAATAGTCAGTTAAAATCTATGAAGCACGAATACAGATATGGGGGTACGGACACGCACGCACAATACGGGGACACCACGTAATTGAAAAAAATAAGACAAGACATGTCATGGCACATGTTTATATTTAATTAATTATTAATATAAAATATATATTTTTTCATTACTCTTTATTAAAAATATCACAATGTAAATTATGCAAGAATAAATATTAACTTCATAGATTTAATTTATATTATAAAACCACATGGTTATGAAAATTAATTTTTAAAAATTAGATATAATATATTTCAAAAGAATTCATCCAACTTATAATCCAACTTATTTACTATAATTTAAAAAATCCTATGATTACAAAGAGAGAATTATTAATGCTCGGCTTGGAATATTGGATGCACGTTCGATACTCGATTTTGATGAATATTAGAGGGAGTTTCAACATGAAGAGAGATAGGACGGTTTCGATATGAGGTGTAATAAAAACAACACGTATTTTTATAATTTTTTAATTTCCTTGTCCATTCTCTCAAAATCGTGTTAAGCTCACGTCCGATGTCATGTTGAGGGTGCCTCGGACTTGCTCGAGTCTGATTAAAATTCAAACATATATTTTATAGTGTCGGAGAAGTGTCCGAGAGCGTCAGACAAGTGTTGGTGTTAGATATGTGTCCGACACTGGCACCACAAATTTTTAGAAGTGTCGGTGCTACATAGATTAAGATCAACCCTAACTAACTACTAGATACATAAATTAGCTTGTCTCTACAACTTACAAGTGTTTTCAATTTTGAATATCTATTAAGGTATCCCTTGATTAAGCTCACCCAAAAAAAAAAAAAAAAAAAAAAAAAAAAAACCACAATGTTTTGAACATCTATTTTTCTACTAAATACTTTTACAAAGGAATACAATGTCCTTAGAGAACTCACCTAAATAATACAGTCTAAATTACAATGAACTAACTATGCTTCATGTCCCAATTCAAATACTAGTTGGAGACCTGGTTGAGAAAATTAATGTTTGTAAAATAGTTTCTGTCATACCCTACTAGTCACAGGCTCAACAGCATGAACAAAGAATCCATCAAGGTATATTATATATCCTCGGATAAATAGTGAATATAGGCATGCAAATAAGAAGCCCATACATAGCAAATAAATACATCAAAGATAGTACAGTTTAACATATACATGAAGTACGTTAATTTGAAGAACTATCTTTAATAAGACCATGATACAAACATCCTCTATAAGACACCCACTTGCTAAAAAAAGAGCTTTTTACAGGAAAATGCTTCTACATTTCCCAATGATCTATTATATCCAATAAAAAAATATACAATTGATAGCCAAATCAACATGAGAATAATGCATAGCTGTTAAATATTGCAATGGCATATGTTTGGCTCCAAAATAATGATCCAATTTGGCTAATTAACATGATCATAAGCAAAAACAATTAAAATTATCATTATATATGATGTGCAGACCACAGGCCTTCAGTATTATACTAAATCAAACATCATGAAAAGATCAGCATATTGGTTATAACCTAAAACAATTCACAAAACATAACTTCAGCAAAAAATAAAATAAAACCATAAATCTCGTATAATAGCAATAGTCCTCCCTAGAAAAAAAACCACGTAAAATCACAACCACATTTCTAAGAAGTAATCCAAATAAAATAAATAAAAATAACTGAGCCATTTACCTGAATCGATATTGTCCTAAGCCATGCTTGATCCCCCATTTGAACTCACCAACATAACGGCTTCCATCCTCACAAGTATGCACACCATAACCATGGCTCTGACCATTCAACCATTCTCCTGCATAAATATCACCAGTATAAAACCGATAAACCCCGAAACCATTTCTAAGCCCCTTCTTATACTGTCCCTTGTATCTGCTCCCCTTAGTCCAAGTTTCCACCCCATATCCATCATACTTAGCATCAACCCAATCCCCTTCGTACTTTCCACTCTTATAATAGTAGTAAACCCCACTTCCGTGGCACTTCCCCCACCGGAGCTCCCCCTCGTAGACGTCTCCGTTGCTGTAGACCTGTACAGAAAGGCCGGTCCGGCGATCGGTGCGAGTCCCTCCGATGGACCACAGAAGCGGGAGAGTAGGCGGGCGAGGAAGGACGCGTAGAGAGGGCAGAAAAAGGCAGAGGAGGAGGACAAGACCAGAGGAGAATGCGAGGACGGGTATGAAATCGATGATAAAAGAGTGAATATCGATAGAGGAAGTGGAGGATAGGAGGAGTATATATAAGGAAGGGAACAGGAGGAGGACGAGTAAGCGAAGGCGGAGGCTGAGGCAGCGAAAGGCGGTCAGGGAAAGGCGAGAGGGCGGAGTGCCGGGGAATAATCGGCGGCGGTTTCCGGCAACCGGAATCATGATGGGCCGCTATCGGGGGTGGAGATGGAGAGGAGCGGCATTAGGGTTTGGAGTTGGGAGTAATTGTATCGATCGAATTGGCGGAGGAGAGGCAGACGGTCAGGACGGAGGAAAGGAGGAGAAGCGCTTCGATATTAGATTAGACTTGTGAGTGACGAGCTTATAATTTATATCTACTTTTTAATCACAATGTTGGTGAGATTAGTTCCAACTTAAAATTCCAAAACTGCTATTTTATTGGATAATGCTACCATAATTCTAATTATGAATTTTAAGATATTAACAAAGAAAAGAAGCCAATTGCATAAATAATATTCGAAATATTATTTTTTATAAAATTAGCATTTTCTTTAATAATATTAAAATGCATAATAAAATTTTAACCCCTATTTTTCATTTGGGATAATATATATATATATATATCTATATATATATATATATGTGTGTGTGTGTGTGTGTGATGAAAGAAATTAATATTTACAAATTTAACATTATCTTTCATCTATTTCTCAAATTCTCGCTCAAATATCTCATTTTATCAATCTCTCAATAGTTGAACGTGCCACAAGGGTAGATATGTGGGTTTGGAGAAAAATACGCAGCTGCGTATGTCAGAGAGGTTATTGAAAGGATATTGGAGGGTTATATCCGCATTATACCCCCTGTAATTTACCTGTACATTCTAATAAGTTTTGTGTTTCTGTTTTCATATATTTGTAGGTTACAGACAAGTTACGAGTATGTTACAGAGAGATTAAAGGAGGTATAATGCAAATAAAACCCCCCAATACCCTCTGAATAACCTCCTAAACGTACGCCGCGCTGTGTAAATCTTACGTACGCAAATTTTTCTCGTGGGTTTGACAGTTCAAATAATTAATTATCTAGATGCTAATTTTGTAGATAGTAATAATTACATTACTATGTATGTAATTATCCCAAAATTGAATGAAAGGGCGTTTTAATGCTAGATAAGATTTATGTGGAGCTTCAGCATCTCCTTATATACTAATCAAAATGTTAGGGAGATAAGTTTTAACTTAAAATTCCAAATTTTTATTTTTATTAGATAATTTTCATCGTGATTTTGACTTTAAATTTTAAGATAAAAAAATAATAATAATAATAAATTAAAAAAAATGAATTTGAATATATAAAATCTAGCAAATGCATTGGACTAATATATTATATATCAAGTTGAATCAGATGAATCTATTAATAATGATGCATGACACCAGATGCCATTGAAGGGTCAGTAACTAACTAATATTCCTCCTCTTTGACATCTAGCGCTTACTAATGCATAAAAGATTCATTTAAATGAAAGATTAGAATTAAAGAGGAGACTTCTACTCTCTAAAAATAATATTTGGATAATAATTAAGCAATAAGAAGAAGCCATGCAAAGAACATGTATTTATAAACTAAATATGTAGCAACATAGCTACAAAATAAACAAGATAGTTTTTGTTGTGATTGAAAATCTTTATAATAAAAATAATGTGATGACTTAATTGAATTTATGTTTTCTAATATAGTTAACAATACTATAATTAAGATTGAGTACTAGTTTGTTGAAGACTTAACTCTTTTAAGCAAATTGATTTAATGATTGCTTTGCTACATAATGATTGATTAGCCATCAGCAAATTTTCATCATCCGTCATCCGTTATGAATCTAGATGCATGGCATCAATCTCGAAAACAGATTTTGAGCAAGAAATGTTTAAAGCTTCATTAGAAGTCATCCAAAACTTCGATCAACAAGCTTATAGTTAAACTGATCGACTTGACGAGACAGACCCAACAGTACCAACAATGGTCCAATCCGAGTCAAATCAAGCCTAGATCAAGCTATTAATCTAATTTTAAAAACATTTTGGGCATAATTGGAAGGTCAAATAGATTTTGAATCTAGCAAGCTTATAGTTAGATTAGATGTCTTGGCAAGAAGAGGGAGTTGAAGTCTAGGACTTTGCACTGTTGATCTAACGAACACCTTTTGCTCCTGCAGTTGGCAGCCACTGTCGACCATGACTTGCTGTCTGCCTCACCCACTCATTGTGACAAAGCACCCCACCAAGCAACAACTGACAAGGTGAAATCATGAAGTAACCTATGAAGTAATGCATCAACCCAAACATCGTGCCAATCTTGAATTTGATGCAACATCGCACCCCCACATATAATACAAAGATGCCTCCCGCAGAAACTGTAACAACGCACCCCACATACGTGCAATGACGCCCCATAAAGACAGTGACTTTCTCCAGACTACTAAGGCTCTGTTTGGCGCAGCTGCAGCTGCGCTGCCCTAGGAAGCTACTGCAGGGAAGCAACTGCGGTGAAGCTGACTGTCTGTTTGGTGTAGCTGTGTAAAATTAGCTGTCGGGCAGCTGTTTATGGAAAAAAGACCATATTGTCCTTGTTTGGTAAAACTGCTTAAAAGAAGAGTATAACAATCATTTTTTTATAACTTCAGTAAGCCTCCAAAGTGCTAACAGTTTTTTGTTTAAGAATAAGAACACATATGCAACACAATCTTATGTATTTACATATCTAACACATAAACTTTGAAGTTTTACGAATATTTGCATATTATTTTGCAGGTCTTACAAAAAAATTGAGTCGCATAAAATTAATGAAGTTAAATGTAGTGTTTGGTATGTAAATATATGAAATTAATTATCGTTAAGTAATAAAATTGAAGTTCTGATCAGTTCCCTGATGTTAACTCTAGTGTTAAATAACTATTGCAAAATCCCCCATCAATTAGATTCTTTTTAAATGGAAATCCTCCATCAATCGGCTCGATCAAGCCGAAAGCCAGACCAGGCAGATCCAGCAGGAAAAGAGTGAGAAGGGAGAAACGTGACAGAGAAACTCCAGATCCACAAAAAAATAACAGGAAAGAATGAAAATGATAGAAACTGGAAAAAGATAAGGAGGAAAAGCCATCATATCCGCAAAAAAAGCCAAAAAATCTAGCTCAAATTCTTTCTTCAGTAACCGAATTCGGTCATTCTAGGTTAGGGAAGAAGAAGGTGCATGAGATTCACGAAAGAGGCAGTGGGGAAGTAGCTAGGGTAGAAGAGAAAAATGCGGCGAAAAATGTAATATTTACAGTGTGAACGCGGTGTCGCCGGGTTGATCTTGCGGTCTGCTTCCGCCAGCTTCATCGATGTTGGGCCGCGAAGCTGGTAACGAAACATGCGAATTTCGGATTTCACAGCGGTCCTCGCCATGCCGCAGAACCCCCCCCCCCCCCCCCAAAACGCCCCAGACCCTCTCTTGTGTTCTTGCAATCTACCACTATGGTCTACTCAACCAATTATGACCTATGTGTTACAAAAGTCGTACCAATTCATACTTTGCCCCCTGCGACCTATAGATGTCATTACAGACCACCACTGCAGCCTATGTGGTCCACAACACTTGTATTTCCTGACTCTAAAATCTACGGTCTATAAATATCATCATAACTTAGCATTATGACCTACATGATCAGCTATGACCTACGTGGTCCACAGTTCATGTAGCTCTTGACTCTGGCCTTTGTGGCCTACTGGCAACATTGCAACCCATCACCTCGACATATGTGACCAAATAAGGCCTATGTGGCCCACAACTTGTGTATCTCCCAACTCCAGCCTCTACAACATACGAATGCCATCACAACCCACCACTATGGCCTATGTGACCAAAAATGACATTTGTGGTCCGTACCTCATTTATTTCCTTACTCCAGGCCCTGCAATTTATGGACATTATCACAACTCAGCACTAAGGCCTGCATCACCAACTACGACTTATGTAGCCTGCGACAAGTGCGAATCTTGAATCTAACCTCTGTTACTTACGGACTTCATCGCAACCGACAACAACAACCTTCAAAACTGACAACAACCTACGTGGCCCGCAACTCATGTTGCCCCTGACTTCGAGCTCGTGGCCTATGGACTTCATCACAACCCACCACTATGACTTACATGACAAACTACGGCTTACGTGGTTCGTAACTCATGCATTTCACAATTTTGGTCCCTATAGCCTACATATGTCAACGGAGCTCAGCACTATGACCAATGTGACCAATTATAACCAACATGGCTCACAACTCTTACAGATTTGTGTTATGACCTCTATAGCCAACCAATGCTCTTAAAGTGTCTGTAACAAACACATCGAACCACTATATTAACTTTCAACTGCAACCAACATGACAAGCTGTTCATATGAATAAAATCTACAATGTTCACTACAAACTTCTTCCTCTATAGCAATCAACAACGACCCTTGCAACCGACTATCACCGTGAATTATGACTATTATTGATGAACTAATATTATACAATTATAGTGATTAACTTTTTAACTTCATATTCTCTAATTCAAGAGAAGAGTGGATCAGTGTACTCACCATTCATAGTGAATTACTTCAACATGGTTAAGTCCTATAATATTTCCCTTTTTTTAAGGTTTTCCATGTAAAATGTTAAGTTGTCTCCTCCTACTTAATTTTCTCTTTTATTATATGAGTGTGTGATGGGTTTTTGTGGAACTCTAAGATAATAATTTAATACTCTATTGTTGCAGACATTTTAACATGCATCAATGATATTAAAGAAGGCATCTATATCACTCAACTTGAAAGCTTAGTTGTGCATGAAAAAGAAAGTTTATTATTCAAGCTCTTAAAAATCTTTATGTATATCAAAAATTTGTCTACGCTGATCTCATAGAGATCTAATGCTACAAAAGAGAATAATACGATAAAGGCAAATTTTTTTCTAAGAAGATCGTAATGCCCACCAAGCATGACTATTTAAACTAGATGAGCTAAGGTAATTAGGACAAACTTGGCTAAGTCCAAAAATTTACAAGAAAATGACTGAACAATCTAGAAAAAAGCCATTTGTCTAGAAAAGAGGAAGGATGATGTCCAGGATGTCAACTACGGGACTGTTTGGCGCAGTGGTGGGGTTGCGGTGCAGTGGGGTGTCACGATTTCGGGAGTTTGATTAGGGTGGTGTATGCACTTTTCATTAAATATGCCCAATAATTTGAGCCACGACCTCACCCCAACATTTGTTTCATCCTTTGGTTTGCTATTACTCCCGTGCACACCCCCCTCTTGGCCTAGTCCCGCATTAG